AAATGGTATTACTAACCCAAATACACTGGCTGTGTGTGTACGTGTGTGTGAGGGGCATAAATAAGTCGCTTATTTATTGCATACACACACACACACACACACACACGCACACGACCTTAAATGGGCACAAAGTGAAAGTGTTTGCTCTGCCTTAACTTTCCTTTCGTTTTCACTTTCATTCATATCGAGTTTCCCTTAACTTAAAGAACAGAAGCCACACTCACACTCATATTTGTATTCACACTCTGGTGCGAGTATTTGTGGGGTTTTTTCTCATAAAATGTGCCTAATAAAATTGCATAAATCTGTTGTTATTTATGACCGCAACGTGAACAAATCTTTACAACAAATACTTCTATGTAGAGGTCACTACAGAGTGCACTCAAGGTTGGTCAAGATTCCGGGAGAGCCGATTGGGAGAGTCCTTGAATCATATTTTGATTGGGGGATCCCTCAAGGTTCTTCCGACTTACACGACCTCAAAGAACACTCCATATCCAAGGACGTCTCCCCTTTGCCCTTCAAATAATCAACCCACAAATTGTCTCCACAAAAGCGGAGTGGAGACCATTTGCACGTAAATTACTTAAACCACGTGACATCCATCCCCTCCCCTCCCCCCAGGAGCTGTGCAAACAATCCCCAAACTTAATTAGATCTTCGGAAAAGGGGCGAGAGAGGGCGAGGCGAACTTTGGAATTGAAAATTTCCAACAGATTCAGACAACAGATGCGACAACAACGGCTTCAACAACAACTCCAACAGCAATTACAACAACAATACGTACGTGAAAAAGGTGAACAACAATGCAGCCCAGGAAAAGAAAACTCTCCAGCATTGGCATCCTTTCCCCCAGACGCCACCCCGCCCACCACGAATGTGGATGTGCCACCAACTTCAAAATAAGTATGTTTTATGCTGTGCCGCAGTGGCAACAACAACACCAACAACACCAACAACACTCCGTTGTTCACTGCGGAAGCGGAAACTTCAAAGCGCAAACACTTGGCTTTATGAAGCTGTTAAGGGGGCGAGTAGTGGGGACTGGGCCTGGGGCTGTGATGGGGGGGGAGTAAGAAAGGTGAGTGAGGCAACAATGACAGCAAGCGGCACCAGTGTAGCACACTTTGCGGCGGCGACAGGGGCCACCACAGACAAAAAGGGGGCTGAAAAGTGGGCATCTTTTTGACAAGTGTGTGGGTGGCACTGAGAGAAGCAAAGCTTAACAGATTGGAGCTACTATTTAGGGAAAATATCCTTCTTGCTATCTACAGAAATATATATTCATCAGAAGAAATAAAGAAGATAATATTCCGAGTAGTATTCCCCCTCTTTTATCGGGTACTTTCTCTTTGATTGTACAACTTTTAGCCCCATTCATTCGATATATTTAATTCCCATTTATTCCCCACTCTCCCAATATCTTTACCCCCTCAATATCCGTCTTGGTCTGTGTCTAGTCCTTGGGGTTCCTTAAATATCGAGGCCCTCCCCAGTACGCCATTCCTTTTAGACCCTGTTCTGCCTTATGGCCACGCACCTGGCCCCCTGCATTGCGTGTGGGCTCTGCTGTCGTCCTGTGTCTCCTGAATTAATGTACGCAATGCAGAGAATTCTTTGAGTTTTACTTTTGAGTCGCCCCTTCTGGAGGACAGGCCCTCCGCCTGTTATTGTCACCGTTTTGTTATTAATTCAGCGAGTTGATTCACTCGTTGTTGCCACTCGTAATTTATAACCTGCGTCACCAGCTGCGAAAGGCCGAAGGCAAAAAAAACAAATCCCCAAAAAAGGGGACAACAAGGAACAATAAAATTTTGAACAATTTTTGCTGTCAGTCGGCGCCGTGCCGTTAAATTTACTTACTGGCGGATTCTGGCAGCTCTTGGCAGCTTCTTTGGGCCGTCTTTTCTCTTTTTTCGCTATTTGTTCTTTGAATGCCCTTACCAAACAGGGTAAGGGGACTCTTGTGCATCGACTGGCATTGGTTCTAATGGAGCTAAAGAGGAGGTTATTCTCATTTGAGGACAAGGTCTTTCCCGCTTAAAACCTAAGGAAAAAAATCCCAATTCTATTCCAAAATTCAAGCAATTTTGTTCGCATTTTCCTTTCTTTCAAGAGTGTTTCGATTTCGTTGTTTTCCCCAGCCTTGATGAGTTCCTTTCACCTGTTTCGTCGTCTTCGTTCTGCAGGTCTGTCTTTTGCTTGTACATTTTTTATGCGCCTCCTCCTGCCATGTACATATTTTATCCTTTATTTTTTTGGCACGCTCCCGCTTCTGCCACTCCTGCCGCTCCTGCCACTCCTGCCGCTCCTGCCACTCGCCGTTCGTCCTGTTCCAAGTGCACTAAAAATGCGTGAACTTAACTTGATTTCACAGACATTTTTTCGTCCTTTTCTGTGTTTGCTTTGGCCAAACAATTCCTTTTGAAGGTCCCTGGCCAAGTGCCTGTCCGGGCCGAAAAAAATACAGAACAGAGCAGAACAGAAAGCCAGAAAGAGGATGCAAGTTGTAATTTCATTTCTCACAACTCTTTGGGACTCTTCAGCCGTGCCCCCCCCTCCCCCCCCTCCAAAACATACTTTCTTGGCCATATGGGTGGGGGGACGGGGGGCGGGGGGTGGCGGGGGGGGCGTACATAGGGGCGTGTTTAATTCAAGTTGGCAAACAGCATAGAGAGATAAAGTTTGTTTGGATTTCGCCAAAGCCCGCTGCTGAAATTGTTGCCGTTCCGTCCCCCCCACTTTCTCCCCCCCCCCCCCCCCCCCCTCTCTCTCTCTCTCGGAGGGCACTCTCTCCTGTTGTCATATCCTTTATTGCATTTGTTTTCCTGTCTTGCTGCCTGCCACGTTTTCCGTGTCGGGGAAAAGCCCGCCTGGGCTTTAAGGCAAATTCCCGCAATTTATTTTTAGCATTTCATTTCACTCCGGCATTGGCCTGGGCGGCTTCCTTCCGTATTCCTACCCCCAAAATCAATTCTTGAAAAAACAAATCAAATGTAATTTGTTAAGAAAATCGCTCTCCTGCCAAATATTTGACCCACTATTGAGTTTTCTGTGTGCTCTTTGAAAGCAATTAAATTTGCATACAAATGCCTTTCGATTCTAGGTTTTCGTTGGTATTTTATAATAATTTTATGAATTAAGGAGAATGTTGCACTATAAAAACCAATTTCTAAGCATTTCTAAGCCTCAAAGCTGGGTCTAGTGTGAAATTGTTATTTGTATCTTTTTGTTAGAGCTTCTGGGATTAGGCCAAAAATTGTTTTGGTCGTTTATTGGAATTAAAAACTTTAAAAGCCTTTATTGAATGCAAATTTATAGGAGATCGAATCAGTTTAGGGATAAAGATACTACTGAAAGGATTGTACAATCCTCTTCAAGGGGAATATTAGCTCCGATTATTAGAAAATATATATCTGATCATTTATATTGTTTTCTACAGTTTTCTTCATTAATTACACTGCATTTTCTCTAGGAAATTTCATTTTAAAATTCAACACACTAATGAACTTGAGAAAAAATATAGTTTTTTTTAATATTAAAACTTCCATTTTTAAATAAAACAAAAAAAATAAGAATTCGAGTTCTTAGTCAAAGAGTAGTTTTTAAATATTTTTTTTAACCTAGAAAAAGTTGGTTAAGTGCTTAAAATTAATATAAATTACAGAAAAAAAAATAAATTAATCTAACGATCCATGGGGAATATTATTAGAAATTATATGTCTGATCATTTAATTTTTTTCTACAGTTTTCTGCGTTAATTATAATAAAAAAAATCAGAAATTAATCTAACGATTTATTCTTGGAACATTTCAGATTTTAAGAGTTCTTATATTTAATTTTTTGTAGTGAATCGAAAATCCCCCGATAAATATTTAAAAATATATTTCCCAAGTTTTCGAATGCCAAAACTGTAAAGCACACAAAAATGTTGTCTGTGGCAAAAGTTTGTGACCCTCATTCTAGTTTTCCCTTAAAAAAAATATATATCCAGATTTTCCTCGAGGAAAACTTTCCTTAATCTCACAAGGCGAAAACTTCATATAGAAATTTCTTAAAAAACATTAAATATTTAGCAGTTTGTTAACTTTTTAGCCCTGAAATTCCCACACAATCTATGAATTTCGTGCCAATTTTCAAAGGAAAACTATCCACTTAATCTGTCACAGAATATGGCTTATGAATAGTTTTCTCTTGGTTTTCGGGCAAGTAAATATTTTAATTTTAATTTCCATTTTGCATAAAAGCCAAGCCCACTAATTGGGTTAAGAGAGAGCCCAAGGAAAAACTACAGATGGAAAGCCCTGTGTGGGTCTTCTCTTTGACGATTTCTTCATTCATTCAAGTTGGGTTCAAAGTTCGCTGCCGGCGGCTTGTTTGCGGGCTGTCAACTTTTGCTTTTGGCATCTCCTATCTCTTTCGATCTTGAAACCGTCTGCCAGCCGAGACTTGAGACCGCAAAAGAGAGCCACAGAACTTGCCATTGCCTTTGCCTTTGCCTTTGCTTTTCGGGGCAGGCTCTTAAATGTTTCGCCATTTCTGGGCTATCAAAAATGAATTTCGTTAACCGCAACACTTATCAGTCGGTAGACATTTTTCCCCCCCATTTTTGTTGCCACATAGTCATTATCCTGGACACAGGGAAAGATAAATAGACTGAAACTTTGGAGGGCAAAACTCAGCCAAAGATGGCCTGGAAAGGTCTCTTAGGAAGAACAAAGGAGAGCTAGAGGTAGAGTAGATTTTTGCTCTAGAAAATACAAACTATTTGAGGGAAATATTTATTAATTTTTCTAGATATTCCCTTGGCAAAATATCACTAGTTTTAAGGGCACTTTAATCATTTTTAGAAGCCTCATAAATGTTGCTAATTTCTGCCTGGAAATATTAATATTATTTTGCCTTCTTTTTTCCCCCAGTTTTGGGGGTAATTTCCCCCCTTTTCCTGTCCAGTTTTGATTTTGTTTATTCTATAAATATATATTGATGTTGCCACATACCAAAATCAGTTGAGGGTCTTTATCCCAGTGTTATCCCAAAATGTGAAGAGCCTTGCGGTGTTGGCCGAGAGTTATTTTGTTGGTTGTTTGGTGGTTTTTTGGTCACGTCATCGATTAGCAATGTGTTGCCATGGCATCGTCCACTTTGCAGCAGCACAACACAAACACAAAGTGCGGCTGAAGGGGGCCTATGAGGGGCGGGGAAAAACCACACAAACTAACACGGAGACCGCGAAGGGCGCGGGGCCCTAGACCTGACCGCGGGTTGTAAACAAATACAAAAAAGGACAATCTCTCACTGTTGTTGGTGGTCTCTGGGTCTCGTCAGGACACTGCACCGGCGTATCCTTCGAGGGGCGGTTTTGTTTTCGATCTCGGAATGCACTCCGCACTCGGAACACCCCGTAACTACGATGATAATGAGGGGCTTTTTGTTCGGTGTGTTTCTTCTTTTTGTTGTTGTTGTTGTTTGGTTTTTGGGGGCCACTTTCCTTTAAGCGATTCTGCGACTACAACACGACCGTCTGCTCGCACGGCTCGCCGTCAACTGGTTCGCCTCGCGACTCCAAGTCATCGTCGTCGTCGTCGTCGTGGTCGTGCCCCCCGTGCAGCCGAAGATCCCAAAAGACGAGCCGCAAAATTTCCCTGTGAATTGTGCCTTTTCCACCTCCTTTTGGGGGGGAATTTCCCGCTGGCTCTCTCTCTCTCTCTCGCATTTTAGGGATTTTATTCAGATTTCGTGGTGGGTTTCTTTCGGTGTCCGACAGTGGGCGGTGGTGAAGGTGGATTCGGATTTTGCCGGTTTGTTTACGTTTTTGGCCTGCTTTATTTTGGCACCGGCCTCCCCCTCCCCCCACCCGCTGCACGACCGCCATGTGATTGCCCCAAGGGTTGCTGCCACTTCTCTATGAAGTGCTTTTAATTGATTGAAAAAACCCGGCGTATTTTTTACGGCGGAATGGTGGAGTTTCTTTTCATTGAACGGCATTTTTAAAGCGGCAATCGGCTCACTGTTTTTTCGATATATATCGAAATTATGGTATTTATTTATGAATTTAAGCAGAACTGAAGTTTTATTATATATTTTTGTTTAATATTTATTAAGTACTTGTATAAATAGGTAAAGGATCCTTTGGGATATCTCACTTTATTGGGCATCTGCAGTTGAGGCGAGCTTTTCTTGGGGTTCTTGAGGCTATGGGCTCCCAGCTATAGGATTTCTGTGCTTTCTGTTTCGAGCTATAGAAGCTGTCCGCCTACAGGAGCTGTCCTATATGTAGAAGACACTTATCACAAATTATCTGTAAAGATTACATACATTTTCGTTTAATTCTGGGTTTAATTCTTGTGGCTCAAGTCTATGAGCACCACTGTTCTATTAAGATTTCACTTTTCAAGGTATTTACTCGGTTATCTTTCCAATGAGAATCAACCTAGCCCAAAAGTATACCCTAGAATCATGGCTATCCATTTTGGAATCGAAAAGCCTAGTAAAGAGGCAATCAGATACATATTTTTTATGATTATGCGAATCTTATGATTGATCTAAGTAATTGTTAACACTGTTTCTGTGCTGCTTAAATTTATTAAGATAACACTAGTCAACAAAATCGAACTTTTTCTATACCCTGAATTTATGCTTAAAGTATTTAGGGATGTTTTTTCATGGCATCTTGGGCTCTAACTTTTTTCTATTCACTATTTTTATTTATAATTAGCTTTTTTGTTTTTAATACAAAAATGATATTTTTCTTTTTTCAATCTAGGTTTTTACTATTCTTAGCAGCTAAAAAATACAGCTATCAATCGGTTTTTTCAACTTTTGCATCTAGAAAATATTAGGCTTTCGATCGCAAAATTCATTTTTTTTTCCAATATTTTTTATAGCAAAAAATATGACTTCAAAAACTTCAAATATATCAGATTTATTTTAGATTCTTATTTATTTATATTATTTATTTATTTAATTATATTATTTATTTATTTATATTATTAATTTTTTTTTTTTTACAAATTCCTAAAATCCCAAAAAACTCTTCAACGATATGTTCAGATATATTAAGATACGATTTTAGTCGTATCGTTCCCCTCAAATTGTAAATCATGTTTTGGGACCTATTTTGTATATTGATAGATTGCCATGCCCAACCTTGATGTCGGGCGTCGTTTTTCCCCTTTTCAACCCCCAAAGTGCCTTGTGAAAAAACCCCTAAACAAGACCAGGCAATAATGATGACAAATGTCATATTAACCAGGAAACTTTTTGGTCAAAGTCCGCCTAAAACACCCTGCTCTCACACCCCCCCCTCTCTCTCTCTCTCTCACCCTCTGTCTCCCTCCCTTGTCTTTCTGTTGTGTGACCACAGAAACTGCTGGCCGGCTGAATGTTCGGGGCAAACCGCTTTACGGTCGCAACTTTTCCTGGTCTCGGCTTATTTACAAGAATTTTTCGTTCTATTCCAGGCCCAGGGGCCAGGCTCTAAACCGCAAGCACCCCAAAAAGGAGACACGAGACTGGAGCGAGGAGCCAGGAGCCAGGAGCCGGCAGGGGCAGTGCCACAATAGACAAAGTGTATCAATTATAATACGGGTACCGAACCGTATCCAAAGAGGACCTAGGAGCTAGGAGGAGGATCAGGAGGAGCATCCACACACAGATACAGATACAGATACAGATACAGATACAGATACAGATACAGACACAGATATGTCGGCAACGACAAGTGCAACCACAATTACCTCTGATCCGGGCATCCTCTGTTTTCATCATTGCAACGCAAAAGTTTTCTGCTTCACTTTGCCCCACACTTGCCCCCATTGCAATGCGCCACTGGATGCGGCCACAGATGCAGACGAGGATACGGATGCCGATGCGAATGCCCAGTCCGTGGTGGACATGGGTGCCACAGCTGTACAGTCCCGCCTACTGCCATTCCGTCTGCCGTATCCCTTTGTGCGGGCCACACAGCATCCGTGCGCCATTGTCCTGCGGCCCTCCACCGGCGATTTTCTCAAGTGAGTAACACAGAGGCACAGAGCACGGGGGTCCCCTATATGGGCATATTCGTACTAGATTATGAGCAAATTTTATGCCAGCCTGGGCAGCCGTTGAAACAAGACTTTGCGGTGTCGAAAATTTATCTGCAAAGAAATTTCCATAAAATAAAAGATTTAGAAACATTTTTATCATAGTTTTCTAAGGACTGTTGCATGAAACATAAATAAAAAATATTACAAAAAATTATATTCCTATTTAAATCCCTGAAAAATATGGTTTGATTTTCGTGATACCAAAATCGCACTAAAATTGTTTAAAAAATTCTATAAATTTCATGGATTTCATGCTCAAAGATGGCGCTAAAGGTATCGCATGACAGATACAAGAGTAGGCATAAAAAAGTCACAAAAATATGATGAAATTAGATGAAATACATAGAGTGTTTAAGGCCAAAGCCAAAGGGAGGAGATGTGTATGAATTCTGGACGCAGAAATTGTGACCAAAAAGGCCTAAGCACAGACCTCTATTGAGTCCAAAATTCAGTCCATAATTATTGCCAAATTAACAGAAATTAAAAAGAATATTCCTTCTTCTTTCCTATTCTTTCAATCAATCGTTTCGCCCTGAACAAAAATGTTAATTTTCTTCCTAAAAACAAGTGCCTCCAATAGTTTTTCCATATCCCTCTTTTGGATGGAACACATCCCGGCGGATCTTTAACTTTCCGCCCTAAAAGCCCGACCAATTCAAGCCCCCCTGAAACCCCCTCCCAAATTTCTACCAGGTTTTTTTTTGTGCCATGCCTGGACTGTAGATATATAGTATATTTTTGATGCGTTGCGTTGTGTTTCCGCAGCGATTACAGCAATGCGACCGATTTGCATATCGCAGTGACCACATCCGGGGCGGACATCGTGGAGTTCGATCGGGAGGGACTGCGGCGCCACCGGCGGGACGATAATCCGCGCGAATGGCGGCAGAGTCTCCTGGTGGGCGATGTGCCCGAGCCCTGGCACGACTACTGGGACGAGGTGCTGCAGCAGGTGAGTGGAGGCCCCCCCCCCCATCTCTGATATTCATGCAAATCCCTAAGCTCACTCCGGTCCTTGGTCCTTGGTCCATTTGTATCTCCACCATTTGCATTAATAGATTTGCGCCCAATCTACGCGGTGGTCCATTACCAGCTACGAGGAGACCAGCCACAACTGCTACGCCTTTGTCCTCGCCTTCCTCCAGGCCCTGGGCCACGGCCAGCTGAGCGAGGCGGCCCGCAGCAAAACCGCCTTCTGTGAGAGGTACATTGTGCCCCGCACGACCACGGCGGGCAAGTACATCTCCCTCTATCGCAGGCTGAGGCGCCACGGAGTCCATGTGCATCGACAGCAGCCCAGGCTTAGGACCAGGCTCAAGTCCACCTCCTCCTCCCACTCCGCCGCCACCGCCTCATCCGCGGATGTCTGTGATGGTGCCAGGAGCACCGGCAAAGCCGCAGCCAACAGTGGCCCCTTCTCAAGCAACAGTATTGGCATCATCGGCTCCCGGCCCCGCCCCAAGCTGTGCACCATTGAGGAGTGATCGACGGAGGGGGCTCTCAGGTGGCAGAGGAGGGGAGGGCTGCAGTGGCTACCCATAGCAAATGCATGTGAAAATTGTTGTAAACCATAAATTAATTAAAAATAAAAACAATATACAAAAATAAATAAACAAGTTCTCAAAGAAATTATGGGCATTTTTCTATCTTTTAAAAGTATCTGTATCTATATCTATACTCCCCTATCTATACCCTGTCAGAGGTTATAAAAATGTTGCCAATAAATCGGCAACGAAGAAAAGCCAGTATTACATTATTATTGTGTTTTTAGTATCTCCAACGCCATCGGAGATCATAAAATACCTTTATATATTTATTTTTCAAGCCAGGAAACAATAAACCGAATATTTTGTTGTGCCTATCTATGGCCTTCACCACCCCCTCTTCGACGTAAAGGCCATGTCTCCTCTCCTCTTTCTAAACCACACCCACTATCGCATTATCTCGTTCCTTTAGATCCTCTCCGAGCGAATGGTCTCGCTCTCTACGCACTCTCTCTCTCTCACTCGCACATGCAGAGCAAGCGGAAAGGAAGTGGAAGTTCAAGCTGTTTCCAGATCCAGAACCCTAAGACAGCGAATGACTCTCAAAAGCTCTCTCAGTATTGCATAACCATCCCCCTCTTCGAAGTAATGGCCATGTCTCTCCTTCTCTTTCTAAACCACACCCACTATCGCAGAGGCACACGCTCAATGCCCGCTCTCATCATCTCGTTCCTTTAGATCCTCTCCGAGCGAATGGTCTCGCTCTCTACGCACTCTCTCTCTCGCTCACTCGCACATGCAGAGCAAGGGGAACGGCAGTGGACAAGAACAAGCGGTAAAAGGAAAGGAAGATCACTCTCTGCGCACAATTTCGTAGGGAATCCTTGGACAGAAAATGCACCGGAAATAATATTATGATCAAAAAAAACAAAAATACAAAAAAATGAATTTTAAATGGAAGAAAAAACCTACAAAATACATATTAGACTCCCTTTTTAAAGATAATAAATGTACTAGTATATGATTAAAAGTATCACAAACTTATTATTTGGTATATTTGGGTATTTAATACTTATTACATAGGTATATATGGCATATTTGATCTTTATATAAATTCTGTAATATTTTATGGTGTATTTTTTGACTATATAAATTCCGTAATGATGGCTTTGGTGTCAATGGAATGTTTTAAAGGAATGATCAACCCTTTTCAAGGACTGCCTTCCATATTCTTTGGCTTTTAGCGAGTTTTGGGCAGCACATTTTCCCTGAACATGTTGTTGTAGTTTCCAGGGGGATTGTAATTGCACACCACATAGATGACGTTGCCCCTGAGAAAATATAATCCACTATAGATATAGTATTTTGAGCGAAAAGATGACCCACCTCTTGGCAAATCCCACGCCCAGCTCGGTGGAGTTCTTCCACACGACTTGGGTAAAGTGTCCCGTGCCCATCGAGAATGAGGGACTGCCCCAATGGTACTGATTGATCTCATTGTACCAGGAAGCCACAGCATCGGCGGCAGACATCATGCCACCCATGGCCATGTATATGTTCTCGCCGTAGCCGCTGTTCTGGCGATGCTCCATGCGGTTGAGGGCCAGCAAGTGCTGAAATGATGGCCAATAAGGACTGTTCTTTGGGGGTATATATGGTCTATTTGGGTCCTACCTGAGCCCAGTTGGTGGCCAAGGCATTCAGCTTGGGGTTGAGCGTCAGCGGTGGGGCTTGGTGCAGGGCGCGATATTTATTGTGTGCATTGAGGCATTCTTGGGCAAACTAGAAGGTTGAGATTTACAATCGCTATTTAGCTACAGATTCGTCTTGAATAATATTTAATTTTTGGATTTTTTTTTCTTTTTTGGTTCATTTTATTTCACTTTTTTCTAGTCTTTTCTCCCAAAAAAAGTCTTTAAGATACCTCAAAAAATATCTCTTTAAAGAGCTTTAAACTTCTAATTTAATTTTAAGTTTATAATATTCCATTTTTAGACCTGAAAATTCAGTAAAAAGCTATCAGGACCTTCTAAAGATTATTTTAGAATTTTTAAGAGCTTTAGGGATCAGCTTTCAGCCTTCTTCAGAGCACTAGATATATTTTGGAGATAGTTACAGAGGTCTTATGACCTCCTGAAGATCTTCGAACCAATTCTCTTTTCACAAAATATTCCCCCTTGTTTCTTTCCATGTAATGGACGTTTCCACATTTCACTTGATTGAATTTTGTTGGAATCTTTGAAAGAAATTTGTTCTCCAAAGATTTCCATTTTCCGCCCCATGCAATTTCCCTCTTACTTGTTCCGCGCTCATTTTCGTTCAACTCGTTTCCACTCCGTTGAATAGCACTTATTTTTTAGTCGTTAAATTGTTGTATTGCTGTATTTAAATTAAATTAAAATACTCGCACAGTTGTGTTGTTTCGCCGTCGACTGTCGTCAAGTTATGCTGATACTGCCTCTGGCATCGGCTCAGAAGCGGCTTTTATGGGCTCTGTCTGGATTTTCTTATCAGCCCAGCGCACAGCCCACACCCCACACCCCACATCGCTGCGAGTCGTGTGCTCCACGGTTAGTCATCTGATCTGCAGCACATTGGTATATCCCAAGATAAATTCTATTCACCGGAGCTTCCACCGGAAGTTCTTGCGAAACAATTACGGGGCTTCCTTATCGGAACTATCATTTTTGGTGGGAATTTTGTTGTAGATTCGGAAAGGTTATCTTATGTTGGAACACTATAATGGCAGCGTTTCAATACTGATGTTTCTGGGGAAGGAGATCTCCAGGTGGGAGGATTTCTAGCAGTGAAGGTTGTAATTTATTTAGATTAAATTAGTTAAGGATTATATTGATTCCTTTGGTAACTGATTGATAGGGATTGATAGGGATTGATATACTTGAAGATAAAGTGCCCACTCTTCTAGTTTTCTACCATTTTTTTTATGTTTCTTCAACTTTGGAATTTTTGTAATATTTTTTTTTGTATGATATGATTCCATTTTTAGACTGTAGTTCTTTAGTGGCATTTGTTCTCAACAAAATTAGCTACCAAGCATTAAAATTCCCCAAAGAGTGTCCAAGATCCACATTTACGAGTATAATACACTAACAAAATTAATAAATATACTGATAATAATAAATATTATTATAGCCAGAACGATGAAAATATTACTGCCCTTCCTTTATGTACATTTTTTAAGTCCCCTTTTCGACTCATTTACAGCCCCATCAACGTGTAGCCCGACGAAAGATTGAGTATGGCTTTTGCTCTTATTAAAAACACTACTTAATTTAATAGTAAAATCTCTTTAGTGGAATATCCAGTCTTGATGGGAGAGCGAAAAAATCAATTTTGTTCGCCGGCAGAGCTTGGAGCCCAAGTCAAGTCGTGGCAAAGGTGTTTGAGGCCAGGTTTTACATCCTGTGGCTGCCACTCGCACCTGCCTCATTAATGAGCGCAATAACCCAGACGCTGGGGCCAGGACAAAGGGCAAGGGGCACGGGGCACGGGGGCAAGGGGGCACGGGTGCGGGAACTGGCTGTTGGTTATGCAAAACTGTCATGAATCGGGAAAATGTAATTACATTCTCGTTGATGATGCTGATGAGCAGCCATCCCGCCATTCAGCCAACAGTCTTCCGGCCACCGAGACCCAAACCCAACCCCAACCCCAACCCCAACGACGACGGCGACATTTCATCTTGGATGGCAAGGAATACGTGCATATAAATTGTATAATGTCGCCTCAGTCTCAGCGACACGTAATTTGAAAGTAAATAAGTTTTCCCCCGACTTCGAGCGAAAGTTTTGCTCATGAGTTTAGGCCTCGTCTCGGGTTTGCCACCTGCCCCCATCCGCCCCTGCCCTCTACCCACATCAGTCGGAGCTTCCATGCTCCAAATGTATCTAAATGTTCGGGTATTCTGTTCAGTTGTTGTTTTGTAGTTTGTGGATCTGGTATTGGAATCAACAGTTTCCAGGGGCTTCTCTGGGGCGTCCTTGACGGTGCAAACTTCTAATTGAAAGCCGGCATGTACAACAGCGAGCCAAAGTTCGTGCGGCACAACAGAGCCTCGGGTTCCAAGGGATGTCAGAGATGCACCTGAAAGGTAGTTCCAAAAGTAGCGCCAGAAGTGCACCCCCAGAAGGTCGAATTTCAGGTGCAAAATATACGAAATAAATACCGAGAAAATACTTCTAGAAAGATACTATCCCAAGAAGGCAGTCCTGTAGGGTATTCCCATTAATATCTGAGAAAAACCCCATTCAAAACTTGTATTTTCCAAGAGCTGATATAAGTTATCTTCTTAGTTGCTTCCCAATTAATATTATGCCTTATTTATGGTTTTTTCTATGGCAAATTTTGGTATTAAATATTCTCCTGTTTTATCAAAACTTTCCATTGATTCGCTCGACCGTTTCTTGGTCTTCAATGCAGCATTTTGTGTGCCCATAGACCTTGGCAGATAAATAGAAATCATCAACCATCTGCTTTGAGTCACGATTGCGCTCAAAAGTAGGGCAGTGCCGGGGTCTATAGAGCTTTGCGACATTGAAGTGGGTGTGGCGGGGGCTGGGGCGGGGGCTGGGGCTGGGCCTGGAATTGCATGAGTCAAAGGCTTGCAAAATTGATTTCGAACCTGGCGCCGTACGACATTAGCCGCGGGCTCAGCTGTTCTTTGGGTCTTGGTGCTCCTCTTCCGCTGTTATCTAATTAAAGTGTAAAAATAGACTTTTAGCATAAATGCGTAACGCGAAAAGCAGGCCAGTGGGGCTGCAGTGGGGCCCCAGTGGGTGGTTGACGGACCTTGAGCGGCATTAGAAAACGTTTTCTTTTCTGTTCTGCATTCCTTCTGCAAATGGCGACTGGCGACTGGCGAACTTTGTACCCAAAAAAGCAGACAAAAGCTGGCAGCACACTGTTTAGACCCACGGCGTCATGGTAATGATGTAGATGCCTTTCTATGGCTGCCTGGCACGGAACCAATCTGCTGGTTCGGTTCTCCCCTCCCTCCCTCCCGCTCTCCAACGATTTGACACGTTTTCAACGCCGTTGCAGGCGGAAAGAGGAGGGAGAGCTTTGAAAATCTCAACTAATGTCAAA